GACCCAACAGACACCTCTTCTTTTCAAACCGCACTCCTCGCTTTTCTAGCTATTCAAAATACCCTGTAACTTGTCTTCATCATGCTCATCTTTTCTAGGCTGTAAATTTGTGTTCCTGCCTTCCAAATACCAGATTTTCTGTCACTTTTACACTTTTTTATATATGTTTCACGCTGTACTTTGCAATTGTGTACTTTTGCTGCCTTTATGATATAGTAATGTCACTTTTGTTGTGTTGATTCTTTCTTTTTACAATATTGTACGTTGTGTCGGCTTTCAACCCATTCCCCCCCTATGTAATGCCCATTTGGGCCCTTAGGGTACCTAAATAAATAAATAAATAAAATAAATTTGTGGGGTTTAACGTCCCAAAACCACCATATGATTATGAGAGACGCCGTAGTGGAGGGCTCCGGAAATTTCGACCACCTGGGGTTCTTTAACGTGCGCTCAAATCTGAGCACACGGGCCTACAACATTTCCGCCTCCATCAGGAATGCAGCCGCCGCAGCCGGGAATCGAACCCGCGACCTGCGGGTCAGCAGCCGAGTACCTTAGCCACTAGACCACCACGGCGGGGCAATTCACATCAGAGTGAAAGATCAGTGTATGTCAACATCTAAAACAACAATATTACCAACAACAGTACCCTACTTACCGAGAAATTAAATAAATGTACAAGAACACAAGCGCCGCAGTAGGACATCTTCAAAATGATCCCGATGACATCAGAAGGACCGCCTAGAAAATCACTAGTAATCGCTCTAACTGCACTGAATAAAGAACCTTCCGTACGTCAAGAGACGCAATAAAATGCTGCTTGGTTGTTTCTGTTTCGTGGAAAAAAGTACCGCCGCACGTTACTATGGGGAATGGCACGAGTGGTTCAAAAATTCAATTTTCGCGCAGGCAAACCGGTCAGGTCGTGTCATCTAGCGGGGCCCAGTTTAACCAAACCACGTCTGCCATCTCGGAACCAATGGCAGGAAATTGATCAATGGCCGTTGTTGTTGCTATGGCTTCACTGCTTTCGTTCTGCTGCTACTATAGTGTCGGCGGCCACGCAGTAATGCCGGGCCACGTTGCGCACGGCAACAGTGACGTGAGATGGTCCGCTTCTTGAGGTGGATAACTTGAAGTGAACGCGCCAACCCGATGTGGACCACTAAAACGAGATTTTATTTAAAGATAAGCCCTTGCTTGGCCCAAAAGTAACACTACGACGTTTCTGGACCGCTATTTCAACGATAAGCGTCGACTTAATAGTTGCTTTTAGTGTCCCTTTAACGTCGTCGACGGCTTGGCAGGCGAGGCGGAGGGAACTCTACAAACGGGAACGGCTGCGTAACCGTGTTACGCACTTGCTCAGGTTGCACAGTGTAGCTGCCCTTGGTTGTTGTTTTTTTTGTCCCATTAATATTAATAATGTTTTCTGGTGTTCTACACACCAAAAGCACGATAAGATTATTAGCCACGCCTGAGCGAGGTCTCCGGATTTAAGACCACCCGAACCTACACAGTGCATGAGATAAACCTACGGCGTTCTTTCCATTTCGTTCCCATCGCAAAGTACACGGGGAGGGGTTCGCAAGCGACAATCCACATAATTCCACGGCAACGCTGCTTGAGAACCTCTGACCAGGTATCCCTGTACATCAGTAAAAGGCTCGATGACTGCGCCCGTATGAAGCCGAGAGACGTGGTACGGTAACTATACGCTTATCAGCCCGCGATATGCGTAGATACGCAAGAAACGTATCCACAATCCACGCATGTCTGGCCCCACTCGCATAAGGAAGTTAGTAAAACGCAATAAAACAAATACTCTGTCCCGTCAAGTGACCGCTACTCGTTCACGTTAAAATGCACATAACGATAAAAAAAAAGCCAAATGGGAAAAAGTGAAAACGTGTTCCACGCAAGTCCTGATAGAAACCAGTTGCCATTGGGCGTCTTCGATTTGTTGCTCCGGGCTGCCCTGGACTGTCCCAGAAACAGCATACGCCACGCCAACGCCTCCTAGATTTCCCGTGCCTGCCGGATGAGCGCGAAACGCCGGTCATTTATGGCAGCGCTGCCTACGTAGGAGTAAGGGTTTTGTACTCGGCCTTTGAGATTGGCAATTTTGGCATTTGCTACTAATTTCAGAGGATGCCTTGTATTAAAAAAGTTGCTTGCTGAATGACGGCTTCACTTGCGTAGGGTTAATTATAATTGCGTTTACGCCTTTAAAAAGTATTTTTTTACGTTATTTTCGCTGCACATAAGTTCTGAAAACGTAAAAACCTATTTGAAGACACCCCCTACTTGAGTGGCGCCACCACCGCAGTTCCGACGACCGCCGATAATCCGGCAGGCACGGGAAATCTAGGAGGCGTTGGCCACGCCCGTTGGCTGAAAGCACGTATGTCTGCAAGTTCAGGAGTGTCAGGGATGGGTAATCAATATTATAGTAATATGTGCGGTTCAACTTCTCAGGCCGATATGATATGATTACGAGAGACGCGGTAGGCGCCAGAAATGTTCGCCGCCCAGGGTTCTTTGATGTGAACTAAACACGGAGTTCGGGCATTCTTCGCCTGCATCGAAATGCGGCCACCAAAACCGGGATTCGAACCCGCGACCTTCGGGCCAACATTCGAGAACTATAAACCCACTGAAGTAAGGGGCCCGCTGAAGATCAACGGAAATAGGTGAAACGGGACAACGCGTATATGGACGGATTTATCTAGCATTTCGAATTTCGGTGAGTGTCACCACAACATAGAAAGCGCTGGGGTGAGAATATTGCTGACGCAAGGGGGCAAGGCTAGAGAGTGGTGAGAATGCATAAATCCCTGAGCGTGTGCTCCGCGGATGACGTCCGCATGACTTCCTCTTTGCTAAGTAACATAAAATATCCGTAAACTGAAAAAAAAAAGAATATATAGACCATGGTTGCGCGCTGGAGTCACCGTTTCGACAAGTGTACTTTCTTCTTCAAGTCCACTAGTCAAAAAGTTGGCACCTGTTAATATTTTTTTTTTCATATTAAAAACCGTAACACGTTCATCTAGCCTGGTCAATCGGCTGAATAAACCACCATCTCTCGAAAGAAGGAAAATAAGAATCAATAAAAAGCACACGCCGACATATGACGTTATGAGGCCACGAAACGGCAATGTCGAATGCTTGGTTCGTTAAGGCCATGCGGCCGCAGGTCAAACGACACCAAGTTGCGGAGCAAACAGTGCTGCCAGCCCATGTGATTCATAGTGTAGTAGTACGTCACAGATCACGAATTCCGATGGGCCTCCGGCAAGCGACAAAGGTCAATGCGTAGCGCACTATAGTAATCTAGGGAGAAAGTGAACGAGATAAATCGCGCCATCAAATGCACGCGGTCCCAAAACGAGCGCGTTCGGTCGGGGACAGTCTCGCACGCATTCCTAAACCGACAGACGACCCCGGCAGCCAGTGACTACGGCCGCCTCGAATTCCTGCGCGAGGACGGAAAAAGGTCCCCTCGCCTGCTTCTATATTTTACGACTGTTGTCGCGCGACCGCGAGGAGTTCGACCCGCGATGTAACAGCGACAAATAAAAAAGCCGAGGTGCGCGCTCTTCGACCGACAGCGAGAATTCTCTGGCGCGCGAACCACGCTCATCGGGTTACGCTTGCTCTCGCTTCGAAAAGCACGAAGAAAAAAAAAAAAACACGCGAAGCAACAACTGGCAGCAGGTAAGTTGCAAGAACGAAAAAATGCGTCGCGCTGTTTCTTGTTCTGCTTCTATCTTCATCGTCTAGCCTCCGTCGTCCCCCACTTATTTTAGACTCACGCTGCATCGCCAGCTACGAGACAGAGAAGTGCGGCCTCGCTTCGCCTCAAAAAAAAATTTGCGCCGCACGTCGTTTCGGACAAGCTTGCCGGTATCGTCGTTTCAGCGCGGAGGCTACGTTCTTGCCAGGCAGCCGCCAACTTCCCGAGACGAAAAGGCACAAAAGCGCGAGTCTAGTCGACGAAAAGAAGAAATAAGGAAACGAAAGCGCCGTTAACCTGCGTGCCCCTTGCCGCCCAGCGACCCTCATCCTGACAAGGCGCAGGGAGCGCGGACGAGAAACGAGCCCCGCCGTCTCACGTAGGGGTGCGGAGGGGGGCACTGCGCACGAGCGTATTGATCTACTTTCAAAAACTTTTTTTTTCTTCTTCTCCTTCGCTCCCTCGACAGCAACTCCGAGCGGCTCAGCCAACGGCGCACGGTGTGGGAAATTCACGCGTACACGAAATGTACACCCCAAATCGCGCGAGAAAGTAATGTCCCATTTATTCCCTCTCCACGATCAGAAAAGTTTGCATAAAAAATACAAATGACAAAAGCGGGGCGGGTTATAAACGCGTAACCCTCCTTAGAGGTGTTCTGGGGAATCGAGAAAAAAAAATGATCCCGACCTCAAAAGCGCACGATTTCGGGTACGGCGACACGTCTAGTGTAGCGCTCGGAGTGTGATCGCTTCTGCCGCAGCGACTTACAACGAGCTCGACGGCTGTCCTGTATTTAGCGGTCCGAGTTTTCGGTGCTACCACAGTCTAGATCGGCGCGACTTAATAGAGGCTCCCTTTATTAATAAAGCGAGCTTGCAGTGTGGGCCAATGAAAAACGAAACGCCACTCGCTGAAAAGTCTCGAAACGCGCGACGGGTGTCTACTGCGGCAGCCGTTTTCGTTCGATCACGCTGCTGACCCGCTTGGGACTGCTAGGTACTGCGGCGGCACATAGCGTAGTTCGGCCACGGCACGGATCGGCTCATCCGCACACACGTTTATTCACACCGTACCCGAATATACACTGGCGACGGGAACTGTTATCCCAGAGCCACCGGGCCGAACACGGTGTTGTCGAGTGCACCATCACGGGGGCCCAAAACCGAAATTGACGGTCTCCTATTGATCGCGCTTGTCCTCCGCACGATGTGTCAGCCAGACTGGAACTGCTCCGTTTTCGTTCGTCGGTGAGGCTTACCTTTGGTACAGGGCTCACGGTGGACCGCATGGCTGGTGTGCGTAATCCCAAGTTGGTCCTTCATAGCGAGCGCGGCGAGGATCCGCGGTTCCCGGGGGCCACAAAACCTAAAGGTCAACAAATCTACAAACTGCAGTAACCCGATCGCACAGATCCGCCATGTTTACCCTAGCGCCACTGGAGGCGAGAGTAGTGGAAGGAGTGAGAAGAGAAAGAGCGATCTCCCTTTTCTATTTAGTTCGTCTCTTTCCTTCAGCCTTTGCCAACCTACGCTGGAACTGTCGAGGAGGAGAGTACGCTATGCATCGAAGGGAGTGTAGAAGAGGAGGACATGCCTTTCAAGACGACTGCGCAGAGCCGAAGCGGCCGAAGAGCGCGGCAGTGGCGCCGCTACCCGTCACTTTTTAAAAGTTCGGATAAGTTTACTACCAGCTGGTTCACAGGTCCCTAGATTTCATCAAGGGAGCTTAGTTCACTGTGGGACAAGCCATAAGACAAGCGTAGTAATGACTTGCGTTCATTACCACACGCTGATTGCACACAAGTTTGCGCTTACCGGCGCCAGTTTTTTGCACAAATTTCGCAGTAAGATTAGTTCTAGCCACTGTAGTAAGATCGCATTCTGTGGTCTCTATGAGTCACGCGTATTGCTGCTTCAAAAAAGAAAAATAAATAGATAAAGCAAGAAAGTAAGAGAAGCTAATCTCAAAAAACCCACATTGCCTAAAAAAACAACGTACGTCACAAACGTAATAAATAAACGCGTATTTTTATAATCCGTTGTTATCACTATCTATTGTGTAACCATTTCATCATCGTCACAGTCTTCACTTGAAAAAAATGCATTAACATTACACTTTTTTATTTCTGTAATATCCATGGCAAACTAACGTTACGAACTTGTAGGCGATTGTGAATTGTAATCTCGGAAGACATAAGATGCCATACGCTTGGGGATTTCAGAAATGTTTTTACATAAGCAGACAACCAAGGTAACGTTACGTTCTTTTATTTATTTTTTTTGAATGACATACCACTGCTAATGACCATTCTTACATTTCATTATCGTTGTTTTTGTACTGAGCGCAAGATAGTGCGTCTCAGAGCACGTGTCTCAGAGTGCGTCTGTCTTGATCGAGCCCCTAAATTAGCCATAGCCGCAGGGGTAGCCAGTATGGTAGAGCTGAGCGAAATGCGACCATCGTCGCGCATGTTGACAAAAGTATCTAAGTCGCGCTTATGGCGTGACACCGTGTTAATCTTTGGTGCGTAGCTGGTTTATGAAGAGTTTATCTGTATTTTGTGACACCACCAGAGACATTACGTTCTATTCTACAAGCGCTACAGATGTCCAGCGACAGTCAACTTACTCTTGAAGCTACTTTTCTTATATTTCGGACTCTGCTACAGTTAATGCTCATCGCCGAAACTACGGGAGCATCTCATATGCCGAGGAGACGCCCGTGGCCTGAATGTAATTGCGCGATTGCTAAAAATGGCGACCTGGGTGTCGAAACGCCGATTACTTAAGGCCTGATGCGATCGCACGAATTCACATGAACGCAGAGGAATGTCGGTTTTAATTTCTAAGACTATACACTTGCTCAACACCGACAGAAAAGGGCCTTTCAAGCTGCCGATGGTGTACTGTAACAGAAACCAGCTCTGTAGGCACACAGAAGTCGGTCTTTGCACCTGAGGTCAAGAGCGCTGACACAGGTCAGAGCGGTAGAATGAAAACGCCGGGACTGCTGTAGGTCGTCTGATCCTTTCAAAGCGAAACTATTTTCTGCGTTGCGAAAAACAAGAGGAAGTCAACATGTACGCCAAGCAGTGGTGCATTCTCTGGTTCGTAGCTGTCACCTACGTAATCGGGCTGACACTTTTCGGGTGCGGATTCTTAGGTGTTGTCAAGAAACCTGCGGGGCACTCGTCCGCAGAGGATGTAAGTTATCCTTATAAGATATGTGGAGTGTCCGAGGCAGCCAAGCCAGCGACAGCTGTCGCCCCTAAACCAAAACTGAAGTTGGTGTTTGTTCTAATCGACGCACTCCGGTTCGACTTCGTCGCATCGCGCCCAGACTCTATGCCTTTCGTCACTTCCTTGCTGCGAAGTAACGAAGCCCTACTGTACCGCTGTCAGGGTTACTCGCCTACTGTGACGCTGCCGCGCATTAAGACGCTGCTGACTGGCACGGTGCCGGGCTTCGGGGACGTCGCGCTCAACCTGAATGCAGCTGCCATCGGAGAAGACAACTGGGTGTACCAGGCGCGAACCGCAGGTCTTCGTGTCGCCTTTTACGGCGACGACACCTGGCTAAGGATACTGCCAGGTCACTTCAATCGTCACGACGGCACAACGTCTTTCTTCGTCTCGGACTACACCGAGGTCGACCACAATGTGTCCCGGCACGTGCCAGCAGAGATGGAGGCTCACGACTGGGATGTCCTGATTCTGCATTATTTGGGGCTGGACCACATCGGCCACTCCCATGGCCCGTCGTCACCACTCGTCGATCGCAAGCTCACCGAGATGGATGACATTCTGTCTGTGATACATCGTTCACTAAGTGAGAGAACAGATGAGAACTACCTGATCTTGGTTACGGGAGACCACGGCATGACCACAGCTGGAAACCATGGTGGTAGCTCCGAACTTGAAGTCATTACTCCACTTATACTGATCCCGACGCGCGGATGGACACTTGACCGCTGGCAGACGACAGTGCCGCAAACAGTGGCTCAGGTCGACGTCACCCCTACACTCAGCCTTCTCATAGGTCTTCCTATTCCAAAGGGCAGCTTTGGCATTGCTGTACCAGCTGTCCTTGCTGCTGCTAACTACACAACTTCAGAGCAGCTGTATCTCCTACAGTACAATCTGCAGCAGTTGCTTTCTGTGTATGTAGCAGAGTTCGGAAGCAGTGACAAGCTTTTTGCACTGGCTAAAGAAGCCCTGTGCACATTCCTTGATGTTTCACACAGCATCCAGACTAGCACCAAGCAAGAAGCTGCAGTGAGACAATCACTACTTCTGAACATTATGTCTGACATTCAGGGTGCCCTTTTAAGTGCCAGTACAGTAGTTGATATGACGCTTGTGGGAACTGGTGTGTCAGTCTCACTGAAAGGTTCCCTAACATTATTTATGTTGATGTTGTCTGTAGTTCAGGGTTATGGCCATCGTATTCCCCAAATTCGCCAGACCGCTTTTGTGCTAAGTGCTATGTTCGCCTTCTTCGAGTACTCCACATTGTGTGCCTTCTTCCCATCTAGTCAGAGCTGTAGCAATGGTACCTGGTCAGGCCTCCTATCACTGCTCTCTGCCACAGTTACAGCCCTCGCTACTTCCTTCTTCTTCTGGCCCTTTTACCGCCTCGAAACACCAGAGTTCCCTCACATCTTCATTCTTTCGTGCACGGTCCTTCATGGAATCAGCTTTGTGTCTTCCAGTTTTATCGAGGAAGAACACCTTACATGGTACTTCATGACAACGACTGTTGTGTTGATTCTATGCTTCTACTACTCTCGTCTCAGTGCACACAGCCCTCTGCTAACTTTCAGGAAGGGCCTTGGCATTATGGCTCTTCTCAGGGTGCTTCGCTCGTGGAACAGCACAGGCGACAAGTGGGCCCACGTTCCTGATGTAGCCGACTGGCTTGGCGATAGCAGTAATCGGCATGTGCTGGCATTTCTAATTTTTGTGGGTATCGTTGCAGTCATCTTAACCACTGTGCGCCAGGGAAAACCGTTGTCTTCGTTCCTCCTCTACCTCGCGCTCTTAGACCTGTGCCTATACAAGATGAAGCTTATATATTACGGTGACGCCCAAGGTGTTGAAAACTTCTACTGGTACCTGCCCCTCTTGGTAGTATTTGGCATGTTACAGCAGTACCGCTCGGGCAACGTTTGTGACTTTCCGACAGCTGTGATTCAGTCATGGATGCTACTCTGCCTGCTCCTCCATGTGCCTCAGAATGTCCCCATGTTTACACTTGTCATTGTCCTGGAGAATGCTGTTAATGATTTGCTGTGCGAGCTTCCTCTGACTGCGTCCTACCGAGCACTTCTGTACCTCTGGTTCGGTATGTGCTGTCACTTTTATCAGGGCAATTCCAACAAGCTGTCAACCATTAGCGTTTCAGCTGGCTATGTTGGCGTGAGTAGTTACAATCCTCTTCTGGTTGGTTTCCTGATGGTGTCTCACACGTACAGTAGCCTCATCTTCTGGTTGCTTATGTTCTGGAAGCGATTCACCCAGCCCCAAGACCAAGAGCTTAAGAGGGGCCACGGCAGGACACGGCTGCTAGTGTGTTGCACGTTCTTGTTGGCAAAGTTTTCGGTCACCGCCTGGTACTTGGCACTGATGGTGATCCAGAGGTATCATCTTTTCGTGCTGACTGTATTCAGCCCAAAGCTCATATATGAAGTGGCACATGCGATAGTGGTTTTGCTTATTGTTCTTATTGCCAGTGTGCTGTTTTGTTGAGCTGTCGCAGTTACCATCTGATGAATCGAAAGGTTTGGAGGACCACCTCTTTAGCCACTGCACTAGCTGCTGCTACTCTAGTCAATCCTGGAGCAATATAGGAGAATCTTTATTCAGTGTACACTATGCACATATATTTACTTAGGTCTCCGAGATTAGCTCGTTACAACTCATGGTCACAAAGATTTGTGGAGTGGTAACATGAAGAGGTGGTGCTCATGTAGCCTTATCAAACCTATGTGTGTTGACATAAGTCAGAATTTTCATGAATTCCTTGCCATTATCTTTTTTGATAAAAACAAAGCATTTTTTAAAGATACTATTTGTTGTTACATATGATTGAGATGTTTTTTATTTATAATGCTTGTTACAAAATTAATATCTGTGCAGTAGACAGCATGTAGCCCAAAAACCCCTTCTAGTGTATGAACTTGCAGCACTCAGTGATTACTCTTAGGCACAGGGGTGAACTTGATGTCAGGGTTCTGTATCATTAAACATTACTACTGTAATGTAGTTGCACATACTACCTATGCAAAATGAGGTGTTACACACATAGTGGTGACATGCATTTTCTCTCGCAATATTTCCTTGTTAGTGATTCTGCCTTACATTTTATTGTTTTAGAAGCCCTTGGAAGATACTTATATGAATAAAGGGTTCCTTGGACTTCCATAATTTTGAGTGAATTTCAGTTTTGTAAGTGCACCTTTATACCCATAGTTTATGCGAGACAAAAGAAGCAACAGAAGCTCCTTTTTTTTTATATTTACAATGAATAATTATGTTTGCAGGTACCGCAGCTTGCTTTATTGATTGTGTATACACTATTCTTTACTCTTTCCATATCACAGAAATTCATGATTTCAGTTCAAGAAATACTCTTCACAACGTGCCTTGTTTACTCGAATGGAACGTAAATTTTTCTCCAGATTTTGTTTACCTAATCTCAACCCTTACATTGCGTTCAAATATCGAAATGATACATTTTTTTCTTGCTGGACTCAATGAAAAGTCAGCCCTTGCATTACATTCATGGTCGCGTTACAGTCAAGTAAATATAGTATACTGTGTTACTAAAGGTTTATACTGTTTGCATTTTGAACAATCGTATCTCAACAGAGTCTATGCTAGCAGTATTAACTGCGATACTACATGTGAAAGCCACTGCTTCGTGGACAGAAAGCATAGGTGAGTCTGACCTCCTCTAATAATCGTGTGCACCATGAACGTGCCACGTTTGCTCAATTATGACTCGTCCTCAATTGCAATTGACAGCCTTATTGTGCATACTTCAGAAAACATAATAGCCTTGATTGTTTCCCCGCCAGACATCCACAATAGTAGGTGAAATATAGCAGTTTGTTCTCACTTCAAAATGCAACATTGTAAGCTTCTGACGTTGCTTAACATACGATTTGGACAGAAGCAACAGTTGGTAGTGTTGAGCGATTGCACAATTTTGGCACTTGTCTGCACAGCCAGCACTCACTTGGAAGGTAAAGCACAGCCTTTGAGATTGTGATGGTAGGCATTTGGCTGCTGCCTCTTGTGGCTGTTAACATTTTTGTCATCTTTAAAAGAAAATTTGTGTTATAATTTAATATATATGACACCTCTGAGCTACTTGGTATTAGTTATCAGCACATATAGTGACCGTTATATGGTTATGTCAGAGTAGCGTTAGCTACACTGGCCTCGCTGAGCCAATTTCGCGTAGCACTAGTCTGCGCATGCGCAATGATACTCCGCCGCCGCCGCGCCACCGGTGTGCGCGCAATTCAATGCGCTGCGCAGACGATCAGTGGTGTCATGCACCGGAGCCGGCACCTCCCTCGCGGTTGGCCGCGGCCGCCCGCGGCTCGCCGCAGCCGGTGTGCGCTTTCCAGAGGAGTGCCGTCATATCCTTGGTAGACATATAGACGCCGACGCGCGCGCCTTCAATGTGCAGATTCCATCTGACACTGCGCTAGAGCCGCTTGATAGCGCCTCTGACTGGCGTTTGCCACTGTGGTATAGCCATGGAGAAGGAGAGTGAAAATGCTGCTCAACGGTGCAGTAGAGCAGAGAAGCTTAACTCATCGGATCCCGAAGTAGTTGCCCGGCAAAATAAATATACATGTGCCACATAATACGTATACCGTGTGTGTTTCATTGGAACAGCTGTAAGCATGATATCTGGAAAGCTAAAAATAATCAGCTGAACCGTTGCTAACGCTACGTATATCCTGGCATAGCTGAGCTAAGCCACTGCCATTTTTTTTCTAACAATGATCAAGTGTGCACATGTAGCAATGGCTCTAAAATATGCCAACTTCTGTTTACACTCCTTCACTCTTTTAGGCTCTGAAGCCATTGCTGTGCAGGCAGAGAACATCGGCCATTTTCCTCGTGTGTGATAGAACATTCTCAATTGGCTTTTTTTTTACTAATAAGGTATTTTAGCTGTGTAGCTCAAGTGTTGAAGCCTTTGTGTTACGTCGTGGGCATCACCACGGGCGAGCGAAAGGGGCGCTTAACCCCCTAAAGCCACACCAGCACTCGCCCCCAACCCAAGATGCACCAACACTCACCGCGTTCTTGCCCTATTTGGAGCTGCAAAGTTATAAAAGGCATTTTCCCACAATACCATTGAAATTTATTACTAGTCGCATTGTGCTAGGTAAAATTTAAAGTGAAGTGATCATTACGGAAACAAAAAAAGTATGCATACTCTGGGGCACCTGCCTATTCGGGACGTTGTAAAAAAAATGGTGGAACTCTCACAGCAGTGAATTGGGCAATATGACAACGTGCATAGTCCTAACAGCTTCTGGGGTTGCACAGCCAATTTGTCCGAAGTCAAAAATTCGCAATGCATCACATTGAAAGCATGTCAACCTTGACTAATATATTCCATGAAAGTAGGAGAAATAAAAGTACAGCCTGGAATTTGCACACCATGAGTAGGATTTCCTTCTTTTGAGTACACTGATGTGATTTCAGAATTTCGCACCCCGAACAATCAAGTGCCAATAAGATAAGATTGAACGATTCCCCCTGAAGAGGTTGCACTGTTGTCCTAATGGCTGAGTGGAGAATCTTATTGCACATTAAGGATTAAATAAATTGCCCGGGATTAGCATAACAGCTCCCAGTTGTTTATCATATTTTTCTGCCAAGCATGCTGGCTCATTGATGCGAGCAATACCTATTCAGGCGAGGATATGCAACTGGACATCGAACTGGTTTTGCAGCTATCGACGAGTTTTAGTGGGAAACAAACTCGTCCCGGTTGCAGTCCAACTGGTCTGCAGGCTCAGGCTCCAGCTGACATGTCTAGGCTTGAGAGAGATTAAATGTGAGAGAAAAACAGAAAAATCAGCCTGTATCAATTTCTGACCTGTTACTAAGTGTGAGGAAAGGGGAGGAGGTGGAAAAAAGGAAAGAGAATGTGTTGATGATGAGGCGGAAGGTAATGGTGAAACAAAACCTTGAACGTCCAAAAAGAGTTTACAGTCTCTCGTCTGGTTCCATCTAAAGCTGTGAACAAAACTTGTTCACAGCTTTCAGAATATTGCATTGATGATGAAGTGGAGGTTCCAAAACAACTTTGTCCGATGCTTGCTCAACAGATTTTGAACAAGAAGGTGGCCATTGATGTTCTTTGCATGGTAATTTACGGGCAGACACATAGGTGTTCGCTGATCTCATGAGTGCTATATACCTCACAATTCAGACTGTCTGCACATCCGATAAGGAGTAGGTAATAAGTAAATGCCACACCAAGCCGTAATTTGTGCAGTAAGCTTGTATTGCACCTTTTCGTGGTTGGCAGTATTTCAACGTGCGTGCATGGATCTATTCGTGATGACAATCTGATAAAGACGAATATACTGCAGTAGTTTCGTGAGAGTGTGTATACACAACAGTGTTAATGACCAGCTGTGCAAATTAAATGTACAATAGTGTGGTGTTCACACGGGCCCCTTTTGCCTCTGTATCAGTTTGCTTATTTCGATGTAGGCCTCAGTGCCCTGGAGTCCATTGATACTTCATGTGATGGCCAATTTCCAGGGCCACATCGTGTGACTCGGTCACATTTTGAGCAATGAGATAATATGGCCCCAGTTAAAGCAATGAATCTCTTACGTTTTCAGTCACAGAATATCATCTAGTTGCCAAGGGGCTTGAGTTCAGGGACTGGCCAAGGGTGAGATGAAAGGAGCTCAAAGGTTTGACTACTCATTGAATGGCCATCAGAACAAGAGTAAGGTTCGAGCTTTGATGACACAATGCTTTCGTAAGCTTAGGGTGCATTAAGTCAAGAAAAACCACACTGCTGAAAGAATCATTTGGCCACGTTGACATGTAGGAGGCATCGGGTACTTTGATCGACTGAACGTTAGCAAGGAAGACTTGAAGCACGTTGCTACAACAAATGGTATTGCTGTAATTTGCTGGTTCCAATATGGGGATGGAATGCAATGGATATTTAGTCTGCAACCTGTGTAAAATAATGTAACCGTAACAGCTGCTCAATGTTATGCAGGCATATGCAAGTCGCATTACAGTGAACAAGGTAGTACTTGCAAAGGTACACCTGCAATGATGCACACCACCCAGGTGACAATGCAAGTAAATTCTGCAAAAGATCATTGTTGTCATCATCAGAGTCCTAACAAGCAGCAGCACTTTCTGCTGAATTTTCCAGTGTTTATTTTCAAGCTTTTAGTAAAGGTGCTGCTTGTATGTGGAGGTCTTGCTGCAAAATTATACCGTCCTCGCTAAAGTGTAACGAGTTTTTTTTTTTTTTTTTCATATTTTTACAACCTGAAGTTGCAACCGCAGCACTAGCTAGCAGAGTATTAATCAGAATGGTATACTTAAATGTTTGAGAAGCTTATTTGATGGCATTAAATGGTATCTTGCCAGAACAATAGACTGTGCCATACATATATCTCTCTCATGCATGAACGCCTATTTCACGGGCACGAATGCAGAGCAGTGGGACCAGCCTAACTATTGCAGCGCTGACTTTTATGTATGAAGAAGGATGAGAAGTCAATGCCTGTAGATGTGGTCAGTTCTCTTTCAACAACAGCAACTGAACCTTGGGTAAACAATCTTTCCACAGACCAACAGAAAGTTGAGCCAACTGACTGACAACTGCAGACGTGGGCACAAGTAGAGCACAATGTTTGTGTTGTCCATTCCACTTTAATTGCGCAGTTGTACCTGGCTTCTAGACCATGTCATTGAGTTGTGCACAATGGGCAGTGGTTACCCAAAACTTGTGAAGTTGGAAAAGTCAATAGGTAGGAGTGAAACTGCATTAGCGGACATAGCTTAATGAGTCACTGCTTCAACTCGTGTGTTGAGCTGTTGTGATGCTCTCCTGTGTCGTTCAAATGAGAAAATGTGCAGTGCGACGGAGAACTGCATACGTAACGTGCCAAAAAATTACCGTTACAAGGAAAGCGATCAGACAAAGGTATAGTGAAAACTTCAATGAAATAAAGTTGGCAAAATCTGCATTTTACTTTGTTATAGTACAAATCAACCTTTTTATTTTGCTGCAAGGTATAGTAGCCGACCAATATGATAACATATTAATCGATGGATTTTGAGGTTGCATTCATTGGACTGTGTGGGGGGTGGAAGTTCAGTTCAGCGACACAGGACTCATTGTTGTACCA